ACTCTGTATTCCCAGCAAAAATGAGCATCAGTTCCATTCTGGGGCCTTCTCCCCATCCCTGTCACTGTGGACACTGCATCTTTCAGCTGCTGATGAGGCTGGACAAAGACTGAACACTTTCTGTATGTGTCACTGGGTTAATTACCTAACTGGGTAAAATATCTGAGAATATTCAAGGGCATTTTGGCGTTTCAGAAGGAAAAGGCTTCCTGGGAGATTTCTATCCATAGGCTCCTGAGGAATTTTTGGGAGCACCTCTCAAGCTCCCCCCGTCTAAGGGGTCTCTGCAGATGTTTTGTAGCTGCACATTTCCATGCCAGAGTCCTCTGAGCCCCTGGCCCAGGGAGGTTTGTGCCCTTCTCCAGGCTGCAGTTCTGGGTGGATTCAGCACTCACAGGGAAAGTAATCAGGAAAAATCATTCAAGTCCAAACAGATTTATCACAGAAGATGTGAGTGGTGGCCACAGGCCAAAATTATTTGCTAAAAACTTGAAGAGCCTCCAAGCTGGATAAACAGAAGGGTATTTCCTGAGGACAGGAAGGAAATGGCTCAGCTCTGTCGTACCTTCACCTTCCCACAAGCTCTGACAGTCTAATTGGCTTTCTGATCCAGATGGACACCCAGAAATCCTGATTAGCCATTGTTCCCTTTCTGTGCACTCAGCATTTCCTGAGCCCTCTCTGCCATCCAGCTCCTCCTTCTCGGAGCAGCCAGCAGGATACAGATTAAGGCATGATTATATTCTCCTCCAACCTGCATTTTAGGCAGCTCTCAGTGCCAATCCCACTATTTCTGCCATTGTGCTCCTACGTGAGGTGAGGAGCAAGAATGTTATGTGTGTGAGGATGGAACAGAGCTGAAAAATGTGTGCTTGAGAGAGCTGAGCCTCCTCCTCTCTCCTCTTCATCTCTCTCTCTCACCCCTCTGCCTGCCTAAAAAGCTTAAACCAGACTGACCTTAGTGTTCAGATTTCATACAATTCTTCTTCATCACAGAACAATCACATCATGTTCAGGAGCTGAAAACACATCTGTGGTATTTTCTGGGTCCCCGTTGTTGGAAGGAAATGATGAATCTGACTCCATGTTCTCAGAAGGCTAATTTATAATTTTATTATATTAAAACTATACTAAATTATACTAAAGAACACAGAAAGGATACAGACAGAAGGCTAAAGATACTAATGAAAAACTCGTGATTCTCTCCTGAAACAGCTTGACACTGATTGGTCATTAAGCCAAAACAATTCACATAAACCAATGAAACAATCACCTGTTGGTAAACCGTGTCCAACAACATTACCAAGCAGGACAGCACGGGAGAAGCAAATCAGATAATTATTGTTTTCATTTTTCTCTGAGGCTTCTCAGCTTCCCAAGAGAGAAATCCTGGTGAAGGAATTTTTCCAGAAAATATGACGGTGACACACATCTCAACTGCTCAGCCATGTGGAGGGAAGACCTTGAAGGTTGGGGGAGGTCAGAGCAAGGTTCCTCCAGCTCAGCAGCTCCTCTCTGCCCTTGGCCAACAGCAGGAGCTCAGGGGTGGGAGACAAGATCAGAACAAGCAGCCCCTGCTCTGAGAGCAGCAGTGCCAGGGACATCTCAGGGTCTGACAGCCCTGCAGAGGCTCCCTGAGCTCCCCTTCCCAAATTGTCACATCCTTTTGGAATCCATTGTCAGTGATCCACTGACACCCACCTGTGACAGCTCCAGCTTCGTTATGTGAATAAAAAAAGTACTTCCCTTTGCTCTCAAGTTTCAGCTGATGTCTCCTAATTTAGAGGTTATGAAGAATATTCAGTGATTGTCCCCTCTCCAGCATGACATTCAACCTTGTTTCATCGTGCTCCTTTTCTCCGTCATCGCCTTTCAAAAGTGACAAATCCTAGTCTATTTTCTCTCCTTGGATAAAAGCTGCTCCACACCTTTGATCACAATTTTTGCCCTTCTCTGTACCTTTTCTGGATATATTGCTTCTTCCTCTTCTGAGATGGAGCAGGGGAGGGGGAAACAAGAACTGCATGCAGAACTCAAGATGTGAGTGCTCTGTGGATTTATAAAGTGGTAATGAGGGTCCTTGTTTTATCCTCTATTTCTGTCTCAGTAATTCCTATGATCCCTTTTGCTTCTTTGACTGCTGCTGAGCACTCAGGCTTCAGAGCACACTGAAATGTGGGACCTATTCTTTATGAGTAGTTTCATGTCTTTTAATGAACTCTGCTGGTCTGGGGGAAAATGCACAGCCCCAACCTATCCACACCTGGAACAATGCCCAGGGTGCCTGTCTGGTGGGAGGGGGAAGATATTGGTTCTCCAGGATTTCAGAGGGCTGACAGCATGCACTTCCTTTCATTAGATGTTTTTCAGGCACTTGAACCCCAGCTCCACGCAGCAGCTGTGTGAGGTAGGTAAGAATCATTAAATGGATTTCACAGATGGAGAAACTGAGACAGAGAGATTTGTCTGATTCACTTAGAAACTGTCACAAAGCCAGGAACAGACCCCGAAAACGAGACCTGGCCTCCTTTCCAACAGCTGTGCAAGTGAAAGGGCTGCTCCAGGGACTGTCCCCACCTGGGGCTCCACACAGAGCCTCAAGTCTCCGCTCCTGCAGCTTGGAGCTGTGGAAAACAAGAGTCCCTGCTCCAGCAAGCTGGTGGCAAGTACATTATCTGGCCACACAGAGCCTCAAGTCTCTGCTCCTGCAGCTTGGAGTCTTTATCATGCTGTGGAAAACAAGAGTCCCTGCTCCAGCAAGCTGGTGGCAAGTACATTATCCTGTCCTATCCTATCCTATCTCATCTCATCCCATCCTGTCCCATCTACTCTTTCAAGCCAGCAAAGCTGCCAGCAAAGTAAGCCAAGAAGCTCTCCTGGACTGTGATTTTTTTGCAGCAGCCTGATCTAGGGGAAGGTGTCCCTGCCCATGGCAGGGGTGGAACTGGAAGAGCTTTCAGGTCCCTTCAACCCAAACCATTCTGTGTTTCTGTGATCAAGCACAGGCAATATCTGGGAGTTATTCTGTCTGGGAGTTGTTGGGCTGTGAAACAGGTTTGGTGGAGTGAATCAACAGGCACAGAACTCTTATCACCAACTGTTCCCAGCCATGGACACTCTGTTTGCAAATCTCAGCAGTGAAACGGGCACAGAGACTGAGATTTTCCTCATCTGATCTCCTGCTAGAACAAAACATGCACTGCAAAGGAAATTTCTGTAATTTTGTACTGAAAAAGGTGCTGCTCTGCTTCCCTGCAGAGAAGGAGCCCAATCCTGTCAGCCTGCACTTGGGGGCCTTGTCTGCAACAGTGCCAGGAAAATGTCCCTGCCAGCACCTGCTGTCTTGACATGTCTGAGCCACCTAAAGCTGGGAAACGACTCTGGAGCTCCACAATTGCAAAGAGAGCACTTTGGAGAAGAAAGAAAGGACTTCTAATGTGGAGAAAGGCATTTTCCTTTGAGAGTGAATGATTTCCAGGTATCTCTGGAACAAGGACCTCAATGCAGACCCTGTCCCACAAGGTACAAATTTTCCCTGGGGAGCTTGCAGCATTGAGATCCTTTAACTAAAATATTGAGAGCTCTGCACTGGATTTTTACAAACAGTTTTGAATTCTGGAGATATTTTACAGTGAGAATGACAGATAAATGCTGACTGTTCATGTAAGGGGTCTATTAAACTTTTGGAAGATGCTGGATCCATAGTGAAGCACCCATAAATCCCCTCTCTATGTGGGAATGAGCCAAAGGAATGCCATCCACTACAGCAAATGGGTTATTCCCAGAGGGAGAGGGGTGCTGAGATCAAACTCTGCTCTCTCTGCTGCTGTCTGTCCCAGAGCTCCCTTACAAAAGCCTTGACAATGCCACTATTGCACAAAATGCAAAATCAAGGGGAAAAGATTCCAGCTACTCCTGCTGTTTGTAGATAAATTAAACCCAGAAAAGGCTGAGACAGCTGGAAATCTGACAGGAAAACTGGGTTTTCCAGGGAGAACCCAGAGCAAATTTACAGTTAATTACTGTGATTTGGAACAGCTCTGTGAGTAAATACCAGTCTCTGATTGTCCAAGTAAGAAAGATAATTGTTTCCTGAACTGCGTCTGTTGTGTACGTGAAATTCTGTCAGCCCATTCCTTTGTCCAACTGGAAGAGGTTTGATTTTCAGCAATAGGAATCTGCTGTTAACGAGCAGCTGAAATCCAAAAGCTGAGCATCCTACCTGCCATAAACACAGTTACTGAGCTCACAACCATGCAGTCCTCTGTGTCATAGAATCTTGGATTTCTAAAGCCGCCTCTCTGCCTCTCCTAGTGATGAGGCTGCTGGACAATGAGTGATTCCACAGCACTGGTGAAACAGTTCTGAGGACAAAGAGGCCTGGAAAGCCACTGGGCACTGCCAGCATGAAAATGTGCCAAGGAATGGGCACGGAGAGGGATGGGCAGCAGGAGAGAAGGGATGACTCTTGGAAAACCCCTCAGAATTGTGTTATTTTTATTTTGGCTTTTTCTCTTCAGAGCAACTAGAGGGAAAATGATACGTAGGGATTCATCCAACATTTGAAAAAGAGATGCAATCATGGAATTATTTCTGTTGGAGAAGCCCTCTAAGATGACAGAGTCCAACCATTCCTCAGCACTGACAAGGCCACCACTGCCCCAGGTGACATAGATTTCAAATCCCTCCAGAGATGGGAACTCCAGCACTGCCCTGGGCAGCTGTGCCAGGCCTGGACAAACCTTTCCATGAGGAAATTGTTCCCAAATATCCACCCTGAGCTGCCCTGGCCCAGCCTGAGGCCGTTCCCTCTGCTCCTGTCCCTGTTCCCTGGGAACAGAGCCCGAGGGTCCCCCCAATCCCCCTTTTCTCCAGGCTGAGCCCCTTCCCCACTCCCTCAGCCCCTCCAGGGGCTCCAGCCCCTTCCCCAGAATTGACTCATGCATCAAAAGCCAAACCAAGCACCCAGGAGCTCGAACACTGGATGGATCTGGGCTCACCTGAGTCCTGAGCAGGTGCTGAGGCTGACGGAGGAGCCGGGGGACCCCTGGACCTGGCCGTGGTAGAAGCAGTGACCCTGTGCAGGAACAGAAAACATTTCACTGCTCACAGATGCTCTCTGCTCCTGGCTTTCCAGCCCTTTCATTTCAAGGTGATGCTCAGTTTCAGGCCACAGCAATCAGAATCTCACTGACAGCACCTTTCCTGTCCCACCAAATATTCTCTCTGCTTAACAGACCAAACAGTCCTAAATGGAAACTTTGGGTGTTCCTAAATCCCAAAAAGTTATAGGAGGTTTTTGTTTGCTTTTGTATTATTATTTTGTGAAGGATGAATAATTTTGGACTTGTATGACTGACCCCCTTTTTCTGTGTTATGTATTTAAAGCTACAGTATTGAATATTTGATAATGTTTTATATTATTTTAATATTTTTATAGTAGTTAATATTATTTTAATATTTTATAAAATAATCAGATTAACAAATCAGCTGCTGCATTTCACTGCTTTCCATACAGACCCCTATTTTAATTTAAGGACACTTAAATCTGTGTATCCCTATAGCAGGTAGGGATCCTATATGAAAAGAGAAGTATAACAAAGACAATCCCAAACCTAGAACTTGAAAAAAAAAGTCACAAAGCAAATGAAGGTGAAGGGAAACAGGTTGGAAAGGAAATTTTTTATTGAAAATACCCAACCAAGTAGCTGCATGTTATTAAAAACAACCAAGAATAAAGGGGGGCTTCTATTTTGAGAGACAACAGTCCAATTTCATTTTGTGCCTAGGTTATTATATTTCTTTAATAATCCACAGCTTGCAAAAGGCCCCCACAACAGAGGGTTTCTAAGCTCATCCACATATCTGTCTGGAATCAAGGCTAATTTTATTGTTGACTAAAGGTTATATTGCATTCCCCATACCACCTGGAAACTGAAAACTCTGCTGTGCAAGACTCCCATCTGATTAGTGCAGAGGGAAGTTATCAGTGCTGCAGCCCAACAGCCATCTCCCTGTGCCTCTCAGGGCTGGGTTCATTATTGCATTAATTAACCTTTCCAGGCTGGGGCACGGTTTTCACTCACAGCAGATTTCTAAAAAGCACCTTGATTTTGGCGAAGAAAGCCACAGCCTGGGCAACATGCAATGATTCAGATAGGAATTTTCTGTAAATAAGTTTATGCCAGGGAAAATGTTTGTTTGATTTCCAGCACGAGCAAGTGAACACAGAGCAGCCAGCTCTGACTTTCTAAATACAAATCTCAGTGCCTTTTGTCAGTGGAAGAAATTACAGAAATGGGGTGAGAGTGTTTTACTCTTGGGTATTTTTATCATCAACCCTCATAAAGAGTCAGTAACACATCAGCAAAGATAAAGCCACAATAGAAGGGAGGCACAGATTAAATTTTTTGGGGTGATCACTTCAGTCACAATTGCTATGGATGTCAAACTTTTGGTGTGGGTGCACTATTTCACTTTATTTCAGTGTTATCAGCTCCATGCATCCAGCTGATAGAAGAAAAACCAATGCCCCTCCCACTCAAGCACTCAATCTTATATGCTAAAAGCAAAAATAAAATAGGTTTATTCTCATTGCTTAAAGCATGAGGCAGAGGTGAAGTTCAGAGCTCCTGAGAAAGAAATCTCTGGGTTTGAGCATCACCAGAGCTGAGCAGGGGCCCAGTGAAATGGGGAGGGGGCCAATATCTCACCCCACGCAGCTGCTGCTGTGGTCCAGCTGTCTTTATCTCAGAGTGAATTATGGCAAAGGGCCTGATTTCTTTCCCTCTCCACATACAACTTGTCATTTTATTAACTCTGAGTCCTGGTTGTGGCCCATTTCACAATTTCTCTGAGATCCAGCTATGTGATGCCAAAGTTCAATATCGAAAATGTAAACTTATCAGAGCATGGCCTGCAACAGGACTGGGAGAAAATTGATTTCTAGCTCAGTAATTCCACTGAATTGCAGGATTTTTTTCTGCGATCAGATCTTTTTATTCCTGCAAACTGGTATATAAAATGGGTGTCCCCTCAAAAACAAATAATTACCAAGGCTGATCCATCATACTTAAAACAGTACTCTACCCTTGCTTGAGATCATTTAATAAATAGCAGATTTTGACAATTTTCCAGGTGCTATAAATTGAAAAATAACCTAGACACTGACTTGTGTGCTAGAGAACTGCCCAAGAGACAGCTCCACAAACCTGCCTTGACCTCCAAGCAGAATTTGACTAAGCAACTTTTCAGCAGAAAATCGGATTTGGTTTCAACTCCAGACTGTATTGATGTCCTCAGTGAAGAAGAGATATAAAAATAAAATCAGAGACTTGTCTTTTCTCAACCGTATTGCAGCATTTAATGAAAAATGAATGCACTGAGCTCTCTTTTTTAGGCAGCAAAATGCACTGTCATTACTAATCATGACTTACTTTGCCATTTTGCAAACAGATATTGTATTTTAGCAAGGAAAACCTGTCATTAGCTGTACACATACTCCTGTTAACTCAGGTAAATCTCTGAAAGACTCATGTGTTTCATTTATTTCCTTTTACTTCCTTCAGGAGCCTCTGCAGCCTTCCTGCTCCCAAAACAAATGACTATTTTCTCCTGAGCTGATTTCAAAGGAGATATGAGCACCCAGCAAAATGAAAGCCCTGAAAGCTTTCAAAATGATTGCTTTACTTGGGGTGTCTGCAGCTATAATGAAGATGCTTCTTCAGAAGTAAGATGTTATGCAGAGAAATAATTCCTTCCCCTGATCCCAGCAAAGCCCGTTCTGGATGGGAACACAAAGCATGGTGTCTCTGCTGGCAGTGTCAGTGAGGAAATACCATAACAGAGCAAATACTTGATGGGACTTAGGCAGATAAAAGATAAGCTTTGTAATTAAAATGGCTTGCTGCATTATTTCTAATTAAGGCATTCATGCTGTCAGAGGACAAAAAACATTCCTGCCTTAAGGGTTTTTTATTTGTAAAAAGCAGGTTTTAACTGCTTCTTTTAACAAGCCGTATTTTGTATAGATCCATATTTATACATGTAAATAAATACACACATACACACAAATACAAGTATAGAGTACATCCACAACACACTTATGGCCTGGATTTAAAAATAAACCCAACCAACACCCTCCCCCAAACCCCTCCCAGTGAGGAAAGACACCCAAGCCTGCCAACCTCTGACATGAATTTTGCACTCTGGAAATCACATATTTAGGGTTTTTTTCCCCAAACAGAAGCAGGGCTTTTCAGCCATGGCTGCCATAATTATCACATTTTAATGGGTCTATTTTCAAGAAGCTGAAAAAACTCTCACAAATGTTAAAAGCCACGTGGTTCAAACCCCAGAGCTCGCCTTTAAAGGCTGCCTCTAAAAATCCATGTGTAGGATCAGAGCAGTCACAAAGACACTGAAGGCAACAGTAGAAAAAAAAAAGAACCACATGTCGAGCTGTTTCATCCCAGGGCTCAGATCCTGGCAGAGAATATTGTGGATTTTAAGGATGAAGCATCCTCTCTCCCCACGACAGCGCAGCCTTACCGTGTGATTGCGTGTGAGAACCACGTCAGTGCCATCCTGCAGGTAATGGGTCTCTGTGAAGCCTCTGGCCAGCAGGCCCCTGGAAAAAAACACAGCACAGGGAATGTTGAGGCCACCTCACCTTGAATTTATCCTTCAGTGGTTCTGTTTGAGATAAGGATCAAAGCCAGGCATTAAGGATTCAATGGCTACGGGGAATAAGGGAAAATGGAACTCCAAATATTGAAGCTGCAGGACACGAACACTTCCTGTGGTAACTGTGAATAGACTACAAGTTTCCAGACTGTTTTCTCTTCCAAATGAGGACACTGTGCCAGCACATTTCAGTGTTGAATCTTCCACATAATTTTCAACACATTTTAGGTTAAATCTAGGGAGATCTGGGGTTTAGAGTATTGTTAAGTAATGGTGGTTTGTTGAAAAGGAAAATGTTTTCCCTGTGTTCCTTATTTTTCCATCTAACCTGTTGTATTCATCAGCAAGTGACCACCCAAAGACTAATTTAGCACTTGGTGAGTGAAGCAAACTCCTCCTATTGACACTCCAGGGAAAACACTGCATGAACATCACAGAATTTACAGCACTGGATTTACCCTGATCATCTGAAAGGAAATTCACGGATGGAAATTTAAAGATTTCACAGGAGGCTCTGCAAGATCATGTCTGGGACGAGGCAGTTTGTTCCCATTCCCTCCACACTTCCCCTCCTGCCTTTGGCAACGAGATAAAAAATTTGGACTTGCAATTGTCATTTTCCAGGAATCTCCAGGGAGGGGCATGCATGACAACCACAGAAACTTCTCTTTTTGTAGGGAACTCATCTCAGGCATCTGCCTCTTTTTTTTTTTTTAAAAAAAAAAGAAGTCTTGCTATTGATCTGTTTTCAACTCCTTATCTAAAGAGCATTTCTGACAGAGCCAGGAGGAGGAACACTCATTCACATTTACTCCTAAGGCAGGTCTTGAGTTGTGCTCCTCATCACAAACACCCTTGAATTTTGACACAATTTCTGGTGAGCTGCAAATGCACAATACAGAAGGAGACAAGAGGCAAATGCCAGCATCACCTTCAGAAAACTGCAGAGTTTAGAATATCAAAAATCCCTGGCTCTGTGTTTCACAATGTTCATTCTGTTCCTCTAAGAATTCTGTTCATTTCTTCACCTCTAAGAGGTGTTTCCCCCTTGGGTTGTCCATTTGAACACACCAGGCCCTTTCTTTTATTTAAAGCTGGGTAATGCTGCACCACGCAGTCGTGGTACACATTTCTTGTGTTTGTATAAACATTATAACTGGAGCATAAACACACATTTAATTTTCATTACTGATTAATTTGTAGCACATTAATATCTAGTGGCTCCATTAGGATCTGGTGGTGCTAGGAACTCTACAAACAATTATTAGGGAGAAAACCCAGCTTTAAAAGCCTCTTAAAAAAATAAAGAAACATAACCAAAAACAAGACAGAAAAGGAAAAAAAGAAAATAAGGAAGTGGCAAGGCAAAAAAAAAATGAAGCCCCAACACATTATAGTGAGCATTCAAGCAGAGATTCTCACATTTAACTTTTAAATTTTTCAGCTTGTGAGAAATATTAGCATGTTAATAGATACGGAATGTTAAAACACTGCAGCATTTGGTGGGTTTGTAGGAACTGGATCTCAGGCAACCACCACGCCCACAGCAGGATTTGGGTGCCCAACCAAACATCTGGTGTTGGTTTGGATACACAATAATAAGTTTACACCAACCAGCTCCACAGGGACACTTGGCTGCAGTGGGGATCTCACCTCTGGTGCCTGCAGCCTCCAGAAACCCTGCCAGGAGCAGAGGGGGCTGCACCCCAGTCATGGAATGGTTTGGGCTGGAAGAGACCTTTGAGATCTTCCAGTTCCACCCTGCCAAAGGCAGGGACACCTTCCCCTGTCCAGGGGGCTCAGAGCTCCATCCAACATCCCTTGGGCATTTCCAGGGATCCCCAAGCAGCCACAGCTTCTCTGGGCACCCTGTGCCAGGGCCTCCCACCCTGCCAGGGAACAATTCCTTCCCAAAATCCCATCTAAGCCCACCCAGTGTCATTTTGGAGCCTCTCCCCTTGTCCTGTCACTACACTCTCTTGCAAAAAGTCCCTCTCTGTTTCCATGTGTCTCATTATGACAAAGAGCAGCTGCTTTCATAATTATAATTATTTATCAAACACTGCTAGCTCCTGCACTTGGCAGGCATTAATTGCCTTTGTAAAGGCAAGATCCCATCACTGAAGCCAACAGAATTTCACTGTGCAGTTTTTGGAAATGGGATTTCATCCTGGACAGGGGAGTGAGTTTTATTTATTGGGACAAAAGTACAGGTAAAGGTAACAGATGTAGCAGAAGGGCAAAGTGATTGAGCAACTGACTTGCTTTGTGCTCTGCTGTTTCCAAGGTGTTTGACAGCAGTGATGATAAAGGTGACCTTTCTGCTGCTGTTCATTCTGCTCTGAGGCACAGGTTTAGAAAACACTTCATAGATCTGTAGGTTTGAATACCAGAAGGGATTTGTGATCACCAGCCTGCCCTACCCCATTACAGGGGTCATCTGACCCGAATTTATCTTCTGCTACAATGACAGGGAAGGAACCAGATCCATTTTCCCACTGTAAAGAGCCCTTGCCTCCATCTCCCATGAAGATGGAGCTATCACAAACCTGGCAGGATTTTAACTAAGCCCAACCTAAACCCACTGCACTTCGTATCTGTTTTAACTGTGCCAACATTCAGTTTCCAGCCACTCGAGTGGATCTTATTCCCTCACATCAGAGCTTTATTTTTGTTTGAGTCTTCCATGGAAAGTTCTTCCCACTAAAGTGAAGAAACGTAGAAGGTAAAAAAATCCCTGGTGTCAGCAACGTCCCTGTCAGGATGATGAAAGTTTGATACAGATCCTGAAGATACTGGCTGAAAGGAAGAATTGCCAGTGTGAGCTGTAAAAGGCTGGTGAGAGCACCAAGATGATGGAATCCCACTGTTGGACTGACCTAAGGAAAGCAAAAGAATGTGCCAGTGTGGGACACAGAGTTGTGGCTGCCCCTGGATCCCTGGCAGTGCCCAAGGCCAGGCTGGACACTGGGGCTGGAGCACCTGGGACAGGGGAAGGTGTCCCTGCCATGGCATTTGGGTGGATTTTAAGGTCCCTGATATATTCCATGATATCAAACCACGTAAATTTCACATGTCACAGAGCTTTTCAGGGCTCTGCACTGCCCCTCCTTCGGTTTGGGAACTGAGACATCAGAGCTGAGACATCTGCTCTGCTGCCAGCCTGAGGATGAGCCAGGGAAAGGTTTTCCCCACACTGCACAGGGTCAGGACCTCTGAGATGCTGCCAGGGAGTCCAGCAGCTCCTGGCAGAGGAAGGAGCTTTTATTCCCACTTGCAAAATGTCCAATATTCTAAAAGCTGTGCAGCTGGGTGTGGGGGGTTGGTACCCAAGGACAGCAAGGCATTTCTTGACAGGTTATGAAAATTAAGTGTAACAAGCACTCAAATTCCACTTCTGAGTGTGCACCACTTCACTTTCCAATTATGGCAATAATGTTCTACATGGCAAACAATCAATCCAGCATATGTATCTATCAGGTAATTTAATTACCCTCCCACCCCCCAAAGATATGCAATACAATGGATTGATTTACATTTCTGGTTTTGACTCAGGGTAAAGGAGATTAATAGAGGAAAGTAAATGAATTTAGACGGCAAGCTACTTAACCTAATTGGATCAATGTAATTCTGAAAGAGCAGGGATCAAAATAACATTAATATATCGTAGAGCAATTCATCACCATGTCTGGAGTTTCAAATGTTGCCAGCTACAATGCTCAGCAGTACCAGATGATTATCAATACTTTGCCCTGCATGAAAGACAGAAATAAATGCTATGAAGAACTGCATCAGCTGCTTGATGTGATTTTAAAAAATCAGCTGGAACAACATTACAACTTTCTCATTGCTGCTCCAAAGATGCAGAAGTGCAATTCTTGAGCACAATTACTTACACACTTGGTCACTGTGTTTATCAGCACAGTGATTTTTTCACATTTCACAGAATCACAGGATGATTTGGGAAGGAAGGGACTGTAAAGCCCATCCAGTTCTACCCCCTTCCACACAGACCAGGTTGTTCAGGATCAAACTTCCCAGAGCCAAATGAACAAGCAGAAGCTTGCATGGCCCAGAAAGATAAATTTTATGCCTCTTCATCTCTGACAGACAGCACAGGCTCCCCATCCTCTGTAAGTCAGCAGAAAGCTTCCATGTCAGACTTGCTGAAATGTTTTCAGGTGTCAAGCAAGTAACCTAAGCCTCAGCGAATATGATGAATTTTATTTAAACTTCTAATCCTCACCTTCCTGGCCCCCCACAAGGGGAAATCTGAGGTGGCTTGTTTGGGGAGGGGAAAAATGTCCTGGTTCAAGCCCATCAGATTTTTTTTTCCTCAATCCATTTAATGACAGGAGTGGTAATTTAACACACTGCCTCTGACTTGCAAATGAGAAAATCAGTCTCTGCTCTCCAGGCACCGATATATTATTTCAAAAGGTTATAATGATATTTCATCACCCAGGGAGAGTCAGACAGACAGTCACAGGAGTCAGAGATGGAAAAAATCCAGTGGATCATATCAAGGGCCTCCTGGAAGCCAAGTGTGCCATAGATCAAACCAGGTTCTGCCCCATCGAGCTGCAAATGTCAGGAGCAATGCTGATCCTGCCACTTTCCAGGGCAGGTTACTCTGCATTCCAACAGATGTTACTGTCATGATGCATTTCTCAAAATCCAGCCTTTTCTAGTTTTTCCTAGCCCATTTCTTTCCAGCTGAGACAATGGCTTTCCTTCTTGGTACATCTGTCATTTACACAGTGATGTAAATGCAGATTATTATTATTAACGCAGAAAAAGTGCAGATCATTATCCAATTGTCCTTCAGCCACTCAGGCACCATTTACAGAATATCAGGCTGTAAAAAAGGACAAGAACTGTGCACTCTTCATGCCAGTGCTACTAGGAAAAATCTCAGCATCAATCATCTCAGCAGGAGCAGAC